GAATACTAAAAGCCGGAATCTCTAAAACCCGGAATACTAAAATGGGGAATCTCTAAAACCCGGAATACTAAAATGGTGAATCTCTAAAACCCGGAATACTAAAAGCCGGAATCTCTAAAACCCGGAATACTAAAATGGGGAATCTCTAAAACCCGGAATACTAAAATGGGGAATCTCTAAAACCCGGAATACTAAAATGGGAATCTCTAAAAGCCGGAATACTAAAATGGGGAATCTCTAAAACCCGGAATACTAAAAGCCGGAATCTCTAAAACCCGGAATACTAAAATGGGGAATCTCTAAAACCCGGAATACTAAAAGCCGGAATCTCTAAAACTCAGAATACTAAAATGGGGAATCTCTAAAACCCGGAATACTAAAAGCCGGAATCTCTAAAACCCGGAATACTAAAAGCCGGAATCTCTAAAACCCGGAATACTAAAAGCCAGAATCTCTAAAACCCGGAAAACTAAAACGGGGAATCTCTAAAACCCGGAATACTAAAATGGCGAATCTCTAAAACCCGGAATACTAAAATGGGGAATCTCTAAAACACGGAATACTAAAAGCTGGAATCTCTAAAACCCGGAATACTAAAATGGGGAATCTCTAAAACCCGGAATACTAAAAGTCGGAATCTCTAAAACCCGGAATACTAAAATGGGGAATCTCTAAAACCCGGAATACTAAAATGGGGAATCTCTAAAACCCGGAATACTAAAATGGGGAATTTCTAAAACCAGGAATACTAAAAGCCGGAATCTCTAAAACCCGGAATACTAAAATGGAGAATCTCTAAAACCAGGAATACTAAAAGCCGGAATCTCTAAAACCCGGAATACTAAAAGCCGGAATCTCTAAAACCTGGAATACTAAAATAAAGAATCTCTAAAACGCGGAATACTAAAAGCCGGAATCTCTAAAACCCGGAATACAAAAATGGGGAATCTATAAAACCCGGAATACTAAAAGCCAGAATCTCTAAAACCCGGAATACTAAAATGGGGAATCTCTAAAACCCGGAATATTAAAAGCCGGAATCTCTAAAACCCGGAATACTAAAAGCCGGAATCTCTAAAACCCGGAATACTAAAATGGGGAATCTCTAAAACCCGGAATACTAAAATGGGGAATCTCTAAAACCCGGAATACTAAAATGGGGAATTTCTAAAACCCGGAATACTAAAATGGGGAATCTCTAAAACCCGGAATACTAAAAGCCGGAATCTCTAAAACCCGAAATACTAAAATGGGGAATCTCTAAAACCCGGAATACTAAAATGGGGAATCTCTAAAACCCGGAATACTAAAAGCCGGAATCTCTAAAACCCGGAATGCTAAAATGGGGAATCTCTAAAACCTGGAATACTAAAAGCCGGAATCTCTAAAACCCGGAATACTAAAATGGGGAATCTCTAAAACCCGGAATACTAAAAGCCAGAATCTCTAAAGCCCGGAATACTAATATGGGGAATCTCTAAAACCCGGAATAATAAAAGCCGGAATCTCTAAAACCAGGAATACTAATATGGGGAATCTCTAAAACCCGGAATACTAAAATGGGGAATCTCTAAAACACGGAATACTAAAATGGGGAATCTCTAAAACCCGGAATACTAAAAGCCAGAATCTCTAAGACCCGGAATACTAAAATGGGGAATCTCTAAAACCCGGAATAATAAAAGCCGGAATCTCTAAAACCAGGAATACTAATATGGGGAATCTCTAAAACCCGGAATACTAAAATGGGGAATCTCTAAAACCCGGAATACTAAAAGCCGGAATCTCTAAAACCCGAATACTAAAATGGGGAATCTCCAAAACCCGGAATACTAAAAGCCGGAATCTCTAAAACCCGGAATACTAAAATCCGGAATCTCTAAAACCCGGAATACTAAAAGCCGGAATCTCTAAAACCCGGAATACTAAAATGGGGAATCTCTAAAACCCGGAATACTAAAATGGGGAATCTCTAAAACCCGGAATACTAAAATGGGGAATTATACTATCGGTGGATCAAAAATCAATTCTACAAGCGCGGCCAAGACCGTGATTCTAATCTTAACCTATACAAGAACATATATATTAATAAGACTTGCAGAGCTTCATTCTTTCATCTAAATAACATAAGGCGCATCAGGAAATATTTATCTAAAGAATCGACGCAAACACTATATCGGTTCAAGCATTTATTATCGGACGCCTGGAAGTTGCCTGGACTACTGCAATAGCCTCCTTTATGGCCTACCCTCAATTGATCTGGACAAACTACAGCGTGCACATAGCACATGCAGAGCAGTCTGCTGCGAGAATAATCTGAAGATTTGACCACATAACTCCTGTGTTATATACCCTGCATTGGCTGCCTATCAGATACCGCGTTACTAAAATACTTATTCTTATACTTTTAAAGCGATTCACGGCCTTGCGCTTGAATATATTTGTATAGTTTAATTAAGATACAGTCTTCGATCTAACAGTGGGATATATGTTATTTCAAAAACTCATTAATAATTCATGAGGAAAACACAAAGAGAAATCATAAGCGTGGCGTGTCTTTATATGTGATAAAACACGCTTCAAATTTCAACTTATATTTTCTCAGCTAATCAACAAAGTTATTTTGGAAAATTATTTTGACAATGCCGTGATCTAACTGAGACGTTTTTGAAGCTGTTTAATAAACTCGCAGTTCGTGTTTTATCACATATAAAACACTCATACTCGTTTACTAAACATTAGCGACAGACATCTGCTGTTCCAACACTCTGGAATAAACTACCCGTACATATCCGTAACATTAATGATTTTACAGGTTTTAAGAACATTTTGAAGACTCCCTTTTTTGAGATTGCGTTTAACGTTTAACTAAATTAAATTAGGCCTAATCAGGTTTTTATATATGTGTAAATAAGTTAGTAAATAGCCGAAGTAAATAGGAGTCCATATCAATTCCTGTGAAGCGCATTTGATCATATTTACATGCTAATTTGCGCTATATAAGTTTTAATTATTATTATTATTTTATTACTGTAAAAAAATGAATTGATGTTTTTGCTAGAATTTATCCTTTTCACACTGCCCCAAAACGACGCGATTGAGTTAACAAACTGGCTGAATGGAAAATGTCGATCTAGATTTAAAATATTAAAAAAAACTGAACTGAGTGGCTGAACTTGTAATGGCGCTAGTGTATTCATCTTTTTAGTTGGTATATACATGCATATTAAGGTTACTCCAATTACTCACATGATGGAAACTCATTTCACCAAAATGCTCACCGCGCGCTCAATTTTCAAGTTTTCCCCTTCAAATTTTGCATGCATAATGATAAATCATTGCTGTAGCTAAAGATTTGCCAAAAAATCTACACCTTTAAAAACTGTACTTGCTACGGGTTGCTTTTGAAAATATGACGGCCTTTGCGCCACGAGATTAGAACGCTTCTGATTTACCTCAAAGGCTTCCGAAACATAATATTTCCCATCTCAAATGATCAAAGAACAAAACCGTGTTCGCGTTTTTTGACAGGTATTATATTTGCTTTGATATAAAGCAGAGAAGTTGACTCATCTAAATTTTGGGAGAACGGCAGAATAGATGCCTATAACTTGAAAAGTATGGCACTAAATAAAAAACGCGAACACGGTTTTGCTGCTGTACTATTGTTCAACATTGTGGCAAAGTTTGGAGAGAATCGGATAAAACGTGCGCGTTTCTAAACAATTTTTGTGGGGACAATCTGAGAATATTTCAATCTCCGTAAAAGACGATATTAGGTTTGGCGGGGTTTTTCCGCTCTCTGTTATCACTTCGAACTACAATCGGATTAAAATTAGTAAAGTGTGTTTTGGCAAGGGTTTTCGGTGTCATTCACTCATCATCAGTTTATCACAAACCGTACATGCGAAATGTAAAAAAGGGATAGCTATACAGACCGATCTAAATCGGCCAAACGAAAATACAGTTGAAGATCTGTCGTGAACCACGAAGACACAAGCGAGGTTGAAGGTCACACATCCGGAATCGAGTATCACATCAAGCCACATATTGTCAATTACAATTACAACTTTCGCGGCAAAGGAATCAGTGGTTATAACATTTTTTGTTATATTTCGGACGCATTTTAATATTTTGGAGAAAAACTTCCGGCAATCGATAGATCTCCAGTCCCTGAATATAAATCAATAAAAATGTAAAAAATGATGACATCAGTGTTTTCATCATATAATGTAACCTTAAATATGTTCGATATAAGATATATATTAAGTTCTTTGTATGTTTGCATGGCGATAAAACATATAATAGTTTTGTTTGTGGAAACACCACGTAAATTTATTACTGAAGATCCGGGTAATAATAATAATTTATTGCTGAAGATCCGGGCTTATGGATCGAAAGCTTTGCAGTAATAAATTTATGTGGTGTTTCCACAAACAAAACTATTATAAAGATATATATTATATAACTAATTAAATTGGCTAAAAATTATATTATAATGACAGTTTTCCTTTTGTAATCCTTGATCAAAGCAAGAAGTAACAAACGACGTTGGATTTGTATAAATTAAATGCATGGTTATATTGAATTCGCGTAAAAGCTAGCTGGTTGTGTTGTGACCACATATGGTATTCCGGCTTTTAGTATTCCGGGTTTTAGAGATTCCCCATTTTAGTATTCCGGGTTTTAGAGATTCCCCATTTTAGTATTCCGGGTTTTAGAGATTCCCCATTTTAGTATTCCGGGTTTTAGAGATTCCCCATTTTTGTATTCCGGGTTTTAGAGATTCCGGCTTTTAGTATTCCGGGTTTTAGAGATTCCCCATTTTAGTATTCCGGGTTTTAGAGATTCCCCATTTTAGTATTCCGGCTTTTAGAGATTCCGGCTTTTAGTATTCCGGTTTTAGAGATTCCCCATTTTAGTATTCCAGGTTTTAGAGATTCCGGCTTTTAGTATTCCGGGTTTTAGAGATTCCCCATTTTAGTATTCCGGGTTTTAGAGATTCCCCATTTTAGTATTCCGGGTTTTAGAGATTCCGGCTTTTAGTATTCCGGGTTTTAGAGATTCCCCATTTTAGTATTCCGGGTTTTAGAGATTCCGGCTTTTAGTATTCTGGGTTTTAGAGATTCCCCATTTTAGTATTCCGGGTTTTAGAGATTCCCCATTTTAGTATTCCGGGTTTTAGAGATTCCGGCTTTTAGTATTCCGGGTTTTAGCATTCCCCATTCCCCATTCCCCGTTCCCCGATTCCTTTCCCCGATTCCCCATTCCTTGTTATAGTAATAGCCATTTTCTAATTCCAGCATACAAGCTAATAGTTTATATGTAATAGGACACATGGTCTTTAATTCTTCTACCAGCTGCTCGTACGAAAAGTTGCTTAGCCTGTCAAAACTGCGACTTCGAAGCATCGAATTCGTGTCCCTTCTAGCCACACCACGCAATTCTACATTTATCTTCTCCAAGATTCCTTTAAAAAATGATTCATCCGTTCTTGTAGGTTGGACCGGAAGGATAATCTACAAAAAAAACACTCATTTATATGATGTAGATTTTTATAGAAACGTAAATCATAGGCTAAGATCGTGTTTTTGGAAAATACAAGATTGTATAAACCGAGTATATAAAACCGCTATATTGACTACTGTGCATTTTTCAATCACAACCTACCTGGAATGGCTGACTTGCTGAATCAGGCGCTGACTGCGGCATACTAGTATCGCTCGAGATTCCACTGGAACTAAAGGAGAGGCCACGACGGGACGGGGCATCCAAATTATGAGATCTCAAACTTTTGGCTCTGCTTACAGGTGCGGAAGGTGATAAACCAGTACATCTTTTCTCCCGAGTTAAACCATTTTGCACGTCACGAACAACTTTTCTAAACTTCTCAAAGTTCTCCAAGCGTCTATCACAAGCCCGACATAAAAGATGAGGAAATCCTTCCTCGCAGATAAGGGCGCCACCGTTAACAATTTCTGCGCTTCGCAGGCGACCTTCGTTCCCCTTTTTAAAAAGATTTTTACAGCGTGCTTTTTCGAAAATCCCACCACAGAGACGACACTTACATCCCGAATCTATAGCAGATTTCGGATAAACTTTCTTTGGTGTTTCTTTTCGCTCAGCCATGGCTTGTAGCTACTCAGAACTGAATTGATTTGTTTACGCGTTAGCCTTCGTATTTTATTTTCTACAGATAGGTGTTTCTTTGAAGAAATACCGGCTGACAAGGTCAAGGTGCGAAAGATCCTCTAACGTTGTAATTGCCGAAAAGGAGTAAAAAGCTTTTAAGTTTAAAAGCCGCCACATATTTTAAAATAATATTTTGTTTTAAAAATGTTAAAATATCAATAGTTTACC